GACAGTGATACTATGTATGCTCAGAAGATCCAAGGCAGCTCCACCCCCATGCTGACAAGTCCTCCAGCACAGCCTACATGAAGCTGAGCAGTTGGAAGTCTGTGAACAGAGCCACACATTACTGTGTGAGTCACAGTGTGGTGACAGTCATACTGCATGTGTCAGAAACCCCGAGGGAGGGAGGAGCAGCTCCATGTTGATTAAAGGAAAGATGGAATGACAAAGAATGTGCTTTGAAAACCGATTAATCAATTGGGTATAAAAAGATTTTAAAAACTGCTATGCATTGTAATGGAATAAGATAAATGTGTGAATGTCCACTAAGCCACCTTTTGTTATGGCTGGTGTCTGAGATCATCCTAAAGACTCACTCTGTCATGGGGCATGCACTTTTCAAGGCAGAATCTAGACACTGTGGTTTGCTTGTGTGCATCTAGGATTATGAGTATGAGTTCTACACAATCCCACACATTACAAGGGAGAGCAAATATCACTACCTCCTCCCTCTTTGATTTGTTATCTTCCGGCACCATGAACTGTGGACCTCTGCCATGTACTGTGCTGCCTTCAACCAGCTAACATGAACTGAGATGCTATGTAAACCTTTCTTTCTATAACTTTGCTTGTCAGGCTTATTGTCCTCCCCAAAAGAAAATAACTAACACACCCTCAAAGTAAAGCATGAGGAAGAAAAAAAGAATCCCTGTACTATAAGACAGAAACAAGCAATTCACAGAACACATTTGTGAGTACACATAGTAGTGTGACATTTCACAACCTTAATTTGTTCCACAATTCTGGGAAAGATGTTCTTATTCCTCTTCATGTGGGGAAGATGACTCTGGTCTTGTTTCGCCCAATGTGGATTTCATCAAGGGAAACAAAATTTTATAGAATGCTTCTATTTACAAACTTAAATGATCATGGAAAGAAGCATTCACAAACTAAGCCATTATTGAATTTTAAGACAATTAGTGAAATACCTAAGGGCACAGTTTTACAATCATATGATATTTTTCTTTTTACTTTGTACTTTGCTCAATGGCCAGAATGTTGCTGCTCAGTCTACTTACCAGAATGCATTATCGGGAATCTTTAGGTTCACTGTTAATTATTTTTAAACTTGAAATATTCCCTTGAAATGTCTTTGCCCCTTCTGTGTTCAACATATCCCTCTACAAAGACCTGGTCCTGCCGTCCTTCTTTGTGCCAGCTGTTAGACCCACAGTGAGACGCCACCACTTCCCATAGCCACAGCATGATCATTGATTCATTCCTTACGCTGTGCATTCTGTGGTTTTGGGCAAATGACTAATGATGTGCTTTCACCACACCATTCACGTGCTTCCAAATTATTCAGGTGATCTCAAGGAGCAACCTTATGGGGACTTGGGGTAGTAGGAGGCAATTTAGGTAGACAAGGATTGGAAGCCCTGGCAGAAGAATGTGAAAGCAGAGCACCCGGGAGGAGTCCCATGGGCCAGGCTGGCTGTTGAGCTCTTTCCTGAGAAATCTATTGGGACTTCCAATATACACTGCATGATGCTGGTGAGGCAAATGCTTCCTTCTTACAAGTCTTCTGCAGATGTCTCAGTTGTGCCTACAAGCAGTCTTCATCCACAGGGGACAGCTGGAGGAGATGAAGCTGGCAGAAGCATCCGCCGAAGCTGCCTGATAACATCGTGTTCAGATCAGTCCTGTGAACATCTTTCATTCTGCCCGTTGGTGTCTTCACATCCATAAGAAATTTCCACAGAACCTTCACAATGGAAGGATCATGTTCCATTCCCATTGGCAGGGAATAAGCATGCTGTTGCCCTTATACCTGAAGATATTGTTTGTTCCATGTTTCATGTTTCTAAATGATGTGGGTCACAGAGCTATATAAATATGTTTTTCCTATAAACATTTTAAAAATCATTGAAGTATAAATAGGCATTGAAATATCTATTTTTATTTGAAAAATGTTTCTTTGTATCATCTAAAATATTCTTGAGTAGTTTCAAAGTTCAGAAGCCAGTGAGTTTTAGCCCTGATGGTTTGGTTTCCATTTCACAGCCTCCTAGAAATTTACACAGTGTTCTGCTGGCTGAGCTTAGCAATCATTTATGTTCTCTTTGAAAAGTGACTGACAAAGGAGATTATGTGTTTTCTCATCAGAAAAATGATAATTATATGATATAATGTACTTTAAATTTAGTGATTTTTTTTTTTTTTTTTGGAACCAGGTATTGAACTTAGGCCTTTGTGCTTGCCAGGCAAACACTTCTTTTAATGAGCCATCTCCCTGGTCCCAACTTAGTGATTTTAAATAGAAGCATCAGTGGATTTTTTTTTGTGGTTTAAACAGGATTCCAAATCCTAGTTTGTTTGTTTTATTTGTTTATTTTTTAAATTTTTCCCCATAATTTTATTGAGAAACAAATAGCAATGAGACAGTTTCAAATCAAATTGGTAGGACAGTTTCAATAGTTAACACATTGCATACATTCCTTCCAGTGGTTAATTGCTGTACAAGATGTGGACATGATATCCTGTTTACAAACACCATTAGAACAAATCCCTCTATTCATTAAGAGAATGTAACTATATATCTATCCTAACCACTTTGAATACACAGATACAAAATGGACATT